TGTTAATTTGGTGATTGCAAATTTTAGATTGATTTTTTCAGGCTTTCTCCTCCTTTTCTGACATAAATTACCACTATTGCAGGGACTTCTCCCACATTGTTCTTGTCCACTACCTGGAATTAACGGTTAGAGTTTATGATTTATCCTATCACTTCTTCTTTTTTTTTCCCTTTCCTGTCAGCCATCTTCTGAAATGAACTTATGAATTTTATTTTATACACTTTGCTTTTTACTTCCTAAGAAGATCATTTGGCTGATGCAGTTTACAACCCAGATTAAACTGAAAATTTGTTGTTATATTAGGTCAATTTAAAGAGCACAGTCTTGAACTGATTAATAGAACTGGCACAGCCAAATGCTATCTTGAAACATGGATGTACTACATAATTTGCTTATTCTTTTACATTATGAACTGGTAAACTACAAGTTCATGCATTGATTGTATTCATTTTCCCTTTGTTTTTCCTTTAAGGTTGCCAAATTTTTGCAATGGAAGACATAATTTTAATTGGCATATATTTTTCTTATGGTAATTGACATTGATTTATCACATCATTTTTTTACCTTTTCATTTGGATATGTCATGTCATTCTTTGATAGGACTATGCCAATATATGGTTAGAGATATACTACCAGGCAGTTAATGTTGGGGCTAACTCTTGTCTATCCTTAGCTTAATAGGGTCTTACTCCTGGATTCCAACAAAGCATATCTTTACTCCCTTTTCCTTGGTACTGTCTTTGTGTCTTTCAATTCTTCAATCATGTTCTTTTTCTGTCTCCATTATTTATTTTTCTTTACTCTTTTCAGTGTCCTCATTCTGAACCATCCCAGTGCTTGAAGTTGAGTTGTCCTTTAAGAGAATAGTTGTTTTCATAGGGGTGATAAAAGATGTTCCGATTTGTCAAGTGCCTGATTTATGCTATATTTTTCCTCCCACTCTCTCGTCTCAGTACTTCATTTCTTTTTTTACTTTCTGATTCAACCTTATTCTTTCACAACAAAGCCTGCCGATGACTTATCTTATATCTAAAACCTTCAATGTCTTCGCTGCAACAATTCACAAAGGCAAGTTATAGTACAGATGTTCAGATATGTTTCTGGATAATGAACTGGATGTTCACATGGTAAAATTGGATCAAATTGATTTTGTAATTGTCTGGCTGAAAAAAAAAAAAAGGGAAACATTTTGTTATCCATACTCTTGTCAATAAGGTGCCTGAACAGTTTCATTATAGAGCCCTTATTTAATATTCTCTTTCTGAATTTATATTAGTGAAGAATGGAAGATTTAGTCGTGTTAAAAAGACTGAAGGAGAAATTCCTCATTCCCAGGTAACTGAAAAGATTATGCCCAATTCTGAGATTGACGGTTCTTCGTCTTCTGGTTCTCGTCCAAATAATTGCCTAGAACCTTCAGAAAATACAGATAGGTATCTGGATGGTGCACAGCCATTGCAACGTGAAAATGCTCAACCAGGTGAACTTTTTTTTGGCTTAAATATGTCTAGGTTTGCAGTACATCATAAATTGCTAATCTATTCAATTTAGAAAAAAGTTAGATAGTTTCTGGATGATAAATGCATTAATGTCTTTAATATTCTACTGAACAGATAGTTTTCATGAAAAATTTTCAGCCATTCCTGGAATGGATTCGATCCCCACTCAATCAGACAAGGACAAAAGTGATAATGATGCTGAATCAACAGTTGACTGGTTGAATTACCTTAATCTTGCATCATCGGAAGATGATTCTGAAAGTTGTCATCCTTGTAGTGAATCCATGGAGGATAAATCATTGTCTTCCTCCTCACATCCTGATACCGTAGATAAGTTTCTCAGTGACAGCGTTGT